ATAATATTAATATATATGTAATATATATTTTTATATACTTATATCATATAAAATATAATATATATGATATGATATATACTTATATATCGATATAATGCGACGTATCCCTGACGCATATAGGCGCGCTTCCTCCAGGGCGCCAGTGACTTAGCACAGCCGGAAGAAATATATATATGTATACACACACACACAAAACACCACACACACACACACACCACACACCCCACATAAAGATTATATATATTATATATAATTATATATTATTATTAGATATATGATGGATGTATATACGCCAAAAAACACACACACACATATTGTATAGCTATATATATAATTATATACTATATATATATTAATATAATATTATATATATATATTATGTATATATTATATATATTACATTATATGTGTGATGTGTGTTGTGGGGCATGGTGTGGGGTGTGTGTGTGCCTGTGTGTGTTGTGTGTATGTGTGTGGTGTGTAGTGTATGTGTGTGTAATATATATTATTAATATATATATATTATATATAGTATATATATTATAATATTAATAATTATGAACCACGTAGATGATGTCTTCGTCCATTTTGTCCCCAGAAGTCGTGTCTGATTAATATATACTATATATATATATATATAATATAATTATATATATAATACTTATATATATATATGATATATAAATATTATATATAATTATATATGGTTATTATATATATATGATATATATATTGTATATATATATTATAATATATATATTATAATATATATATATATATATATATATATTTATATATACATAGTATATAGTACATTATACATATAATACATATATACTATAATTATATTTATAAAATGATATAGTATTTATTATATAATTAGAAATATATATTATATGTGTGTGTGTGTGTGTGTGTGTGTGGGTGTGTGTGAGGTGTTGTGTGTGTGAATGAAATGGAACTAAGCCACAGTGAAATTGACGTTTCAAACTCTTCACGATTGGGTTGTACTGTATGCATTGAACATAGTATATATATATATTAATATAATAATATATTAATATTATTTAAGATTTATATATATATTATAATGATAAACTATGGTATATATAGATAGCATAGATAGATAGAGTAGATAGATTAGATAGATTATGTTAGATATATAATATATATATATATATAATATAATTATATTAATTTATATATATATATTAATTAAGTGTATAGTATATATTGTGATATATATATATATAGTATATATATAGTACAGAGGCAGCGTATGAGTGCCATACATATTATTATATAAATAGTTATATACATATATGGTATTATATAATAGATATGTAGTATATTATATGATATATATTAAATACTATCCTATATATACTAGTATATATTATATCATATATATATAAGATGATAGATAGGATAGATATAGAAAAATAGATAGATATGTAGGATATGTATATACATTATCATAAAATATACATATTGTACTATATAAACTGGGTACCGTTGCGGTTTCCAGGCTAAACTTGGAGGGGGGATCTCGGAAGCAGCAGGAGCCCCAGCAGGTTTCAAGGGTCATGGTGACCAGCGCCGTGGACACACCTTGGCCCTGTACCAACTCCTGCCCCCTAGGCCCCTTCGGGGTTGATGGGGCTCGGGGAGTGGGCCTGCCAGTCCTCCATCCTCCTGAAGATATATCCAATCGGAGTGGGTTGTTATAATGGAAAGGCAAGGTGAGTGAGAGGAAAGCCACTCCACCCAGCAAGTGAGGCAGCTGTGGGCCCTCGTGAGCGGGACTGCTGAGACGGCAAGGCTGGAAAGGGAACTTATCTTGTCTCTCGGCTGGTGCTCTGTGGCCGCCAGCCAGAGTGTAAGTTTTTGGCGGTAAGCCCCTCGGGAACCCCACAGGTAGAGATCGTGGCGGCACCCAGCCCACCACCCCCTCTTTATATAGGGCAGCGAATTGATGGTGGCAGAGGTCGTGTAGAGGTCAGAACCAAAACTGGATTTTTATCTCGTTATTGTCTAATGGCCAAGCACAAGTAATGTCAGGTCAGCATCGTGTGGCAAATGATGATTCGCCTCAGGGGCGGCTTAAGTACCTGACCGGCGATGTTAGCTCGGTGGTTAGGGCGGTCCCGAAGCAGGGTTGGCCAATCACAGGTCAGTGCGGTCTAGATTGATGGCCAATCAGGAACCGCTAACAGCACTCCCCTCTCTTTTTCGCGGTCGCGAAACGGACTTGGCGATCCTGAAGGGCTGCTGCAGGTGTGCGGTTGGCGCGGTCGATGGTCATGGTGTCTTCTCCCTTGGGGCGGATGGTGATCGTCTTATCGCCTCTTCTGATGACCGGAATGGACCTTGTATGGAGGACAGAGACGAGGTCTGGGATGTTTTCTCATGAAGACGTGAGAGCAATCCTGGAGTCCTGGAGGCATGTATATGTACTGCTGTCGGGTGGGTCTCGTCGGTCGGCTGCGTACCTGGGCCATTCGTTCGCAGAGTTGTTTGCCGAAGGTCCCGGGTTCGAAGTTGCTGGCTGTGACAAGGAAATCTGCAGGGAGGGCGAGCGTTGTCCCGTAGACCATTTCTGCGCTGGTGCACTGCAGGTCCTCTTTTAACGACGTCCGGATTAAGGAGGACATGAGGAAGTTGGTCGACCCATCTCCTGTTAGGGGAGGATGATGTTTAAGCCTGCTTCATATGCCGGTGGAGTCGCTCGACCATGCCGTTGGCGCAGGGTGGTAGGCAGTCGTCCTGATTCTTTTGGACCCGAGCAGGATCATTAGGGGCGCCAAAGTTCGGACTCGGACTGGACAGTGGCTTAGTGACCGGGCTGCCGCAGCGGGAAATCCAGGTATTGAAGGTCTTGGCGNACTTACATTACCCTTCACATAACGAATTTAAATTGATAAACTGAAACATTCCACTTAGCCTCCAACACAATTCTAGTTCAAAACTGAGTCTTTAAACTACCCTCCAACAAAAAACCAGTTGAAAAACCTGTAAACATTCACCTAACCTCCATAGCACAAACCAGTTTCAATACTGAATATATTCTAACTGCCCTCACAAACAAAAATTGAACGTTTTCGGAAACTGAAACATTACCTCTGCCCTTGCCTAACACCAAACTAGTTCAAAAAAACTTGAAGGCATTCTCACTATGCCTCAACACAGTATTTTAAACTGTTATCAAAAGACTGAACATTCATGCTACCCTTCCACATACAAACAGTTCGAAACTGAACAACTTCACTAGCCTCCACACATTAGAGAGACTTTGTTTCAAAACTGCACAACATTCCAAATACCCTTCAACACAAAACTTAGTTCAAAACTGAAACATTCACTGCCCTCCAACAACAAAACTTTATCAAATTTGGAAAAAACTAGTCTTTTCAACATAAACTAGTTCAAAAAACTGCTAAACATTCCACTATTCCCTTTAACAACAGAACTAGTTAAAACTTAAAACAGTTGTCCAACCAAACCCCTCAATAGAAACTAGGATTTCAAACGCTGGGAACATAATTTTCGTACTACCTTCCATCTGCAGAACTAACAAACACCTGGAGTCTCAGAAACTTGAAACATTCATACCCTCTCAACACCAGCAGGTGTTCGAATGAGCGTGAAACGTACAGTTCCAGTAGCCCACTTCTAACACTCTGAAACTAGGTTTAAAACACTGAAAACATTCGCACTATCATCTCTACCAGTTATATAACTTACCGAGGTATTCAAACCTAAACAATTGCTCACCCTGAGCCTCCAACCAGAAACTAGTATTTTTAGTATATAAATTAGTGACAGACACATTTCTCTCACCTTTCCCTCTTTTTCGATCATAACTCTCTCTGTCTTGTCATGGATACTTGTTCTACGTTTTCGATCATACATTCTCTTGTTCTCTCATATCAAACCTCTACTCTTTCTAGCTACTCTCTCTCTTTCTCTCTCTCTCTTGGGCGCTCCTCCTACCTCTCCTCATACATCTGGTTTTGCATAAAACTGAAATCTATCTCTCGCACTATTACTCCTTCTTCCCTATTTCCTCTCATCCCATCTCTACTACTCTCATAGCTTCTCTCCTCAACACCTCCTTTTGACTAACACTTTCACCTCTTCTACCCCTCCTTTCTCTCATCCACCCCTCCACGCCTTCCCTCCCCTTCATGAGAACTAGTTCCAAAAGCTGTGAACATTCACTTACCTGGCAACACAAATTGATTTCAAAAACTGACATTCACTACCCTCTAACAACAAGCTAGTTCAATACTGAAACATTCAGTGTCCTCTAACACAAACTAGTTCAAAACTGAAACATTCACTACCCTGTAACAGAAATTAGTTCAAAACTGAAACATTCACGGCCGTCTTGGGGATGTCCTCCTCAGCGATCGGGATTTGGTGGAAGGCCCGCACGAGGTCGATCCTGGAAAAACCATACAGCCAGACAACTCGTGGGAAGGGTGCAGGTGCGGCAGGGGGTATCTGTCGGGAGTAGTGATCGTGTTCAAGTGACGGTAATCACCGCACGGGCGCCAGTCACCGTCCTCCTTCTTCACCAGATACAGAGGGGCCGCCCATTGGCTACTGGAAGGGCGTATAATCCCCAACTGCATCATATGGTCGAACTCCGCCCTAGCATTGCGACATCTGTCGGGGGCGAGCGGACGGCAGCAAGAGTGGGCAGGGGGACCGTGGTTCACGATATGGTGCCGGACTTCGTGCCGTGGTTGGGTGGCCCGGTTGATCGGCTTGGTCAAGGGCGGGAATTTTCGCAGAATGTTCTTGAAGGCGCAGGTCCTGGGAAGCACTGTATATATTAGAGGGGTACTTACCAGAGCCGGAGCAGCGTGCGTACGGGCCCCGAATTGGTGGATCAGGGCCATACCTTGAAGATCAACCGTCAGACCGTAGTGCGCCAAGAAGTCGGCGCCGATGATGGGTTGAGGGACGTCGGCGAAGAGGAAGATCCACTGAAATCATTGGGCAGGCTCGCCTTCCAGCAAGAGGGTCCTCGAACGCTCGCCGTAGGTGGTGATGGACGATGTGTTGGCAGCTTCCAGAGTGCGGGAGGAGGGGAAGCGTTTATCCCTGTGGGAGGCCGGGAGGAGGCTGACCTCGGCCCCTGTGTCGAAGAGGAAACGTAGGGAGGACGAGGAATCTTGGACGTACTGTCTTTCGAGGTCCGCGAAAGACAGGCGCGGACAGTTTCCGCGGTTTCCTCTAATCTTTGCGCGGCGGTGAAGGAATGCGGGAGCGAGGCTGAAATTGGGCGTTGCAGAGCGCCTGAAGTCCCGTTCAAAGCGTGGCGGTGAAGGGGTGCGAAAGCGAGGCCGGGAGTGAAAACGTTCCTGTGTGGACTTCTGCACAGCCTCGGATAGTGCGGCGACGTGGGCTGCAAGGAATCCCAACGTCACGGCGGAGTTAGTGGTTGCGGCAGACACTGTTGCTATTGACGATGTGGGTGCCCTAGCTGCGAGCATCGCGTCGGCTTTTAGGGCAAGTTGCTCTGACACCAGCAGGATTTGCTGGATATCAGCGGGCAGCCGCTTGAGGAAGAGGGAGCGCATGACGTCAGGTGGGAGCGTCGTGCCGGTGCGGGTGAGGAGGATTTCTGTGGTGCTACTAGTTCAAAACTGAAACATTTTCTACCCTCTAACACAAACTAGTTCAAAACTGAAACATTCACTATCCTTCAACACGAACTAGTTGAAAACTGAAACTTTCACTACCCTACAACACAAACAAGTTTAAAACTAAAACACTCACTACCCTCCAACATAAACTAGTTCAAAACTGAAACATTTACTATTCTTTAACACAAAATAATTCAAAACTGAAACATTCACTATCCTCTAACACATTAACTAATTGAAAACTGAAACATTCACTAGCCTCCGGTACAAACTAGTTTAAAATGAAACATTCACTTCCCTCTAACACATGAACTAGTTCAAAAATGAAACATTCACTACCCTCCAACACACACCAATTCAAAACTGAAACTTTCACTACCCTCCAACACATTAACTAGTTCAAAACTGAAACATTCATTACCCTCCAACACAAAGTAGTTCAGAACTGAAACATTCACTAGCCTTCAACACAAACTAATTCAAAGCTGAAACATTCACTACCCTCCAATACAAACCAGTTCAAAACTGAAACTTTCACTACCCTCCAACACATTAACTAGTTTAAACCTGAAACATTCACTACCCTTCAACAGAAACTGAAATATTCATTACCCTCCAACACAAAATAGTTCAGAACTGAAACATTCACTAGCTTCCAACACAAATTAGTTCAAAACTGAAACATTCACTACCCTCCAACACATGAACTAATTCAAAACTGAAACATTCACTATCCTCTAACACATGAACTATTTCAAAACTGAAACATTCACTACCCTCCAACACATGAACTAGTTCAANAAAAGTGATTCAAAAACTGAAACATTCACTACCCTCCAACACCAAAACTATTCAAAACTAAACATTCACTACCCTCCAACACAAACTAATTCAAAAACTGAAACATTCATACCCTCCAACACAAACTAGTTCAAAACTAAACATTCACTACCCTCCAACACAACTAATTCAAAACTAAAACATTCAATACCCCTCCAACACAAACTAGTTCAAAACTGAAACATTCACTACCCTCCAACACAAACTAGTTCCAAACTGAAACTTTCGTTAACCAATACGAACTAGTTCAAAATTGGAAACTCATTATAACTCCTGAAAAATTGAAACATTCACAGCCCTCCAACACAAAATAGTTCAAAATAAAACATTCACTACCCTCCAACACAAAATAGTTATACATTGAAATATTCATTGCCCTCCAACACGAAATAGTTCAAAACTGAAACATTCAATCCCATCCGACAGAAAGTAATTCAAAATTGAAACATTCACTACCCTCCATCACAAACTAATTCAAAACTGAAACATTCACTACCCTCCAACAAAAGCTAGTACAAAACTGAAACATTCACTACTCTCCAACACGAACAAGTTTAAAACTGAAACATCCAGTACCCTTCAACACAAGCTAGTTCAAAACTGAAACATTCACCACTCTCCAACACGAACAAGTTCAAAACTGAAACATCCAGTACCCTTCAACACAAACTAGTTCAAAACTGAAACTTTCACTAACCTCCAACACAAACTAATTAAAGACTAAAACATTCACTACCCTCCAACACAAACTAATGTCTAAATTGAAACATTCATTAGCCTCCAACACAATCTAGTTCAAAACTGAAAACATTCACTACCCTCCAACACAACTAGTTCAAAACTGAAACATTCACTACCCTCCAACATAAACTAGTTCAAAACTGAAATATTCACTACACTCCAACACAAATTACTTCAAAACTGAAACTTTCACTACCTCCAACACAAACCAGTTAAAAAATGAAACTTTCACTACCCTCCAGCACAAACTAGTTCAAAACTAAAACATTCACTACCCTCCAACACAAACAAGTTTAAAACTGAAAATTTCACTAGCCTCCAACACAAATTAGTTTCTAAATTGAAAGAAACATTAGCCTCCAACACAAACTAGTTCAAACTGAAACATTCACTACCCTCCAACACAAATTACTTCTAAATTTAAACATTCACTACTCTCCAACACAAACAAGTTCAAAACAAAAACTCACTACCCTCCAACACAAACTAGTTTCTAAATTGAAACATACATTAGCCTTCACCACAGACTGGTTCAAACTGAACATTCACTAATACCCAAACACAAACTAGTTTCTAAATTGAAACATACATTAGCCTCCAACACAGACTAGTTCAAAACTGAAACATTCACTACCCTGAACACAATCTAGTTCAAAACTGAAACTTTCACTACCCTCCAACACAAACTAGTTTCTAAATTGAAACATACATTAGCCTCCAACACAAACTAGTTCAAAACTGAAACATTCACTAATCTCCGACACAAACTAGTTCAAAACTGAAACTTTCACTACCCTCCAACACAAAACTAGTTTCTAAATAGAAACATACATTAGCCTCCAACATAATCTAGTTCAGAACTGAAACATTCACTAATCTCCAACGCAAAACTAGTTCAAAACTGAAACTTTCACTACCCTCCAACACAATCTAGTTTCAAAACCGAAACATTCACAAATCTCCAACACAAGTTAGTTCAAAACTGAAAATTCAATACAATTCGACAGAAAGTAATTCAAAATTGAAACATTCACTATCCTCCATTACAAATAAGTTCAAAACTGAAACATACACTACCCTCCAACACAAACTAGTTCAAAACTGAAACATTAAATACCATCTGACAGAAAGTAATTCAAAATTGAAACATTCACTACCCTCCAACACAACTAGTTAAAAATTGAAACATTAACTACCCTCCAACACAAACTAATTCAAAACTAAAACATTCAATACCTCCAACACAAACTGGTTTAAAACTGAAACATTCACTACCCTCCAACACAAACTACTTCAAAACTGAAACATTCACTACCCTCCAACACAAACTAGTTCAAAATTGAAACATTCACTACCCTCAAACACAAATTAGTTGAAAACTGAAACATTCACTACACTCCAACACAAACTAACTCAAAACTGAAACATTCTCTAGCCATCAACACAAACTAGTTCAAAACTGAAACTTTCTCTAGCCTCCAACACATAGTTTAAAACTGAAACATTCACTACCCGCCAACACAAACTAATTAAAAACCGAAACATCCACTACCCTCCAACACAAATTAGTTTAAAACTGAAACTTTCACCACCCTCTAACACAAACTAGTTCAAAACTGTTTCAACCAAACTGAACACATTCCTCTCCAACACAAACAAGTATAAACTGAAACATCCACTACCCTCCAAGACAACCTAGTTAAAAACTGAAACATCCACTAACCTCTAACACAAATTAGTTCAAAACTGAAACATTCACTATCCTCTAACACAAACTAGTTAAATACTAAGACATTCACTAGTCTCGAACAGAAACTAGTTCAAAACTGAAACATTCACTAACTTCAAGCTCAAACTGGTTCAAAACTAAAACATCCACTACCCTTCAAAACAATATAGTTCAAAACTAAAACATTCACTACCTCCAACACAAATTAGTTCAAAACTTAAACATTCACTAAAACAAAACTAGTTCAAAAACTGAAACATTCACTAACACAAACTAGTTGAAAACTGGTTAGCCCCCAACACAAAACTAGTTAAAACTGAAACATTCACTACCCTCCCACAAAATAGTTCAAAACTGAAACATTCACTACCCTCCAACACAAATACTAGTTCAAAATGAAACATTCACTACCCAACACAAACTAGTTCAAAACTGAAACACTCACTACCTCCAAACACAAAATAGTTCAAAACTGAACATTCACTACCCTCCAACACAACTAGTTTCAAAACTGAAACATTCACTATCCCCCAACATAAAAACTAGTTCAAAACTGAAACATTCACTATCCGCCAACATAAACTAGTTTAAAACTGAAACATTCACTACCCTCCAACACAAACTAGTTCAAAACTGAAACATTCACTACCCTCCAACACAAACTAGTTCAAAAACTGAAAACATTCACTATCCTTACAACACAAACTAGTTACAATACTGAAACATCCATTACTCTCTAACACAAACTAGTTCAAAACTGAAACATTCACTACCCTCCAACACAAACTAATTCAAAACTGAAACTTTTACTACCCTCAACAGAAACTAGTTGAAAAACTGAAACATTCACTACCTCAACTAGAAACTAGTTGAAAAGTGAACATTCACTACCTCCAACAGAAACTAGTTCAAAATGACACATCACTACCCTTCAACACAAACCAGTTGAAAACTGAAAACATTCACTACCCTCCAACACAAACTAGTTCAAAACTGAGACATTCACTACCCTCCAACACAAACGAGTAAACTAGTTGAAAACTGAAACATTCACTACCCTCCAAAACAAATTAATTCATAACTCAAGCTTTCACTATCCTCCAATACAAATCCATTCAGAGCTGAAACATCGATAAGCTCCAACACAAACTACTTCAGAGTGAAAACATTCCCAGTTATCCAACACAAACTAGTCCAAAACTGAAACTATCACTAGGCTCCAACACATATAAGTTGAAAACTGAAACATCCAGTAGCCTCTAACTAGTTCAAACAAAAATAACTCTCTTACATCCAAGTTCTCCTAACATAAATGTAGAACCAAACATCAATGAAACATGCACTAGCCTCCAATACAAACTAGTTCAAAACTGAAACATTCACAAGTCTTCAACAAAACTAGTTTAACACTGAAACATTCACTGTTCAAAACTAGTTCATATATGAAACATTCACTGCCCTCCAACTACACAACTTACAATAATCATCAAATTGAAACATTCACTACCCTCCAACACAAACTAGTTCAAAATTGAAACATTAACTACCCTCCAACACAAACTAGTGAAACTGAAAACATTCACTACCCTCCAACACAAATTAATTCAAAACTGAAATATTCACT